TATTGTGGACTTAAAACTTAAAGAAGGTAGGCTGGGCACGGTGGCTTAGGCCTGTAATATCAACACTTTGGGAGCCTGAGGCGGGCGGATCACTTGAAGTCAGGAGTTTGAGACCAGCCTGGCCAACATGGTGAAACCCTGTCTCTACTAAAAATACAAAAATTAATGGGCATGGTGGCGCATGCCTGTAATCTCTGCTAATTGGGAGGCTGAGGCAGGAGTGTCGCTTGAACCCTCGAGGCAGAGGTTGCAGTGAGCCGAGATCACACCACTGCACTACAGCCTGGGTGACAGAGCGAGACTCCATCTCAAAAAAAAAAAAATTATAGAGGGTACATCTCATATTCAATATCCTTATCACAATTAAAACACACACAGATATGCCTAGACCACCCAGAACCCACTGAGACTGGGCTCAAGGTAGGAAAAAAAACAAATGAAACAAACATGCTTGGAATGAATGACAACCCATCAGGAGGCAGTATCGCCATGACAACAGAAGGCATTTCTGTCTGTATTTCCCACGTTTATCCTAAGAGAAGAGGATCCCTCCAAGGGAAGGCCAATGTTTGCCTGCTCAGCATAGCACAGCGGCAGGGTTCCCTGCATATGATTGTGAGCACCATCATCTCAGACACAAACTAATTTTCAGCTGCATGGACATGGGGTGGATTTTTCTATCAGAAGTGAGCTAATAATGACATTAAGCAGTTCTCAGCTCTTCAGTTACTGAAAATCACTAAAGAGTTTATATCCCTGTCCTACAGACTAGGGGAAAAGAGAGAGACAGAGATGGAAAGGGATAGAAACAAAAAGGGTGAATTAAAGCTGTCATGCTAGGGAGATAATATTACCTACCCCATATGGCTGTTAAGAGGACTAAGTAATTATTTCTAATCTCCTTGCAGCGCCTGACACATAGTAAGAATCCAATGAATTTAACCATTGTTATACTCACTATTTTTTAAGAGGCATTTGGGTGGCTTAATTCATAGTGCCTTTCTTCAACCTCACACCACTCTGCTCCACCCCACAAACTATAAGCAACAAATGCAAATACAAAATAAAAGGTAAAATAAAATTGTTTTTTGTTTTTAATGAATATTAAGAAAATCCAATTACAGCACAACTCAGGTGCGAGCTCCAAACTGAATGGGTTTTATAAGTATTAGAAACAGTGTATGCCCCATAAATATGTGTTGCATTGAATTAAAGTAAATATCCATCATAAAAGGTGCCCGATTTCAGTTCTGGAGGCTTGGTGACTATTTTCATCTTTCCTTTTGCAGTTTGAGAAGGAACTCCTTTCCATAATCATGAAACTATCCTTCTGAATCACCTCTTAAAAACGTCCTCTGCAGTGAGATAATAATATTCTTAGAAGTGACTACTGTTGCAGCAAACTGTCTCCTTTAAAGCATTACCACAGTGCGAGGCTTTTCAAGGCAATGCATGACAGCCACCAGGAAATCTTCAGAGCAAGATGAGGTCTCACAATCCATGGCCGCCTGTGAGGAACCACACTCACTACACTGACAATGTTACAGCTCGCTTCTGCCTGTGAAGTCCCCACTTGCCTTTTGCTTTCCCACACAGGCTCCATAAGACACTTGTCTACCCTACTATCCATCCCTTTGGTCCCAAACCGTTTCATAACTATTTTTTGTGTGTAATGAATTGAAATTTTCTAAGGCTGAGTTTACACAAATAAGAACTGTTCCGTTCATTCCTTGCTCCACCTGGAGGAGGGGAATGGGAAACTGGGTTAGGTGAGGTATTTGGGTTTCTCCTCTTATTTCACTCAGATACTTTAAACTAGCTTTCCTCAGTGATGAGGTGAGTCAATTGTGATGCTTTTGCCTTATGTTTAGCTGCAAAAAACTTCTTGAATTTATTTCTTAACAATGAGAGTGGGAGCAAAGCATATGTGAATGTACTGGAACAGGTCTCAGGAGAAGCCAAGCATCGGGGGAGCCAAATCCATATATTTGTAATTCAAGAGAGAAATTTAGAATGATTAACAGCAGGGAATGCATTCCCCCATGCGGACGGAGCAAACATGCTAGCGTCATGTGAAGTTTCCCATCACTGTTGTCTGAGGACACGTAGGAGACACGAGCTGCATGAGTCAATTTCTTCATACCAAGCTAAAGTCAAGAGACCCCTTTACAATTAATCTGACAAAGGCATAAATAATAAAACTCTTAGAAAATTCAAAGAAATCTCAACACCTGACATAGTCTTTTTACCTGGATAATTGTGTAAGCAAAGGGCTATTTGCATACTGTTGAACTGCAAATACTTGGAGATTACCTCTGAGATGAAGAAATTCTTTAAACTCAGTAAGTTATCACTTTCATAGATATTAAATATTTTGTATTTAAATAAGCAGATAATTTGTGGAAAATGTACCTAAAGGAAGTCCTTGGTATCTTATCTTCTATTGTTGTTATTAGGTGAAATAATAAAAATCTACTCCCCCTTGTGATTATCTAAAATGATGAAGTAAAATTTCTCCCAATCGGTGCTAATGGCAGGATAAAAGCATCAACCACCATCTGTACTAAAGCAGAGTGTTTCAGCTAACATTGTATGCGTACCATAGACATTAAAGTCAGGCTGTCTTTGTGCAGAGCTATTAAACCAACTGATAAATTCTCATCCAACAATTGATTTGGCTTTTTCCTGTCTAATTTGGGCAGCTTTTCAACCGAAGGAAGTCAATCAACTAAATATCTTAGAATATACATACATGGGAAAGATATAATTAGCCTCTATCCAATCCCTCCCTTAAAAAATCTGCAAATATGGGCCTGAATAATCTTCACAAGGTCATTAGATAATGTATTAATAAAAATTGGCATGTGAATCTAGGAAAATTCTTGGAAAAACAACAATCTTCATGAATATGAATAAGAGAAAGTAGCCCTTGGCACAAGAAAGCAACCATGATCCCTTTTTTATGATTGGAAAAAGTTGAGAATTCACTCTTCCTGCCACTTCAGGGATTTCCAATCAAGTGATTAAGGCTGTTTAATTCATTGCCCAAATCCTCCCTTTGATTGGTGTGGGTGCAATTCTTTAAAATATAGGGTAATAAAAAGTGGAAAATATAAATTCCAAAAGAAAATATTTTATATCTTTTATAACTGGTTAATTGACAGGCCAGTGGAAATTAAGATAAACTTTGCTCACGTGCTCCTTTACTTATAAAGAGGAGACACAGCATAATGGTGTAAATGGAGAAATAAGTCCTAAAATTGTGAAAGCAACAACTTTTCTTCTAGTGCTTAAGAAACATATTGCCTTTACTATTACAATATTCTCATAAGTTTTTCAGGTATTCTTAACTTTCCTGTACAATTGAACAAATGAACCAACATAACTTTGCCATGGATTCATGCAAAGGGGAATATAACCCTTGCAGGAAAATGTACAACAAGGAAATCAAGATCCTTTGTTTTACAGCAAGGAGTAAAATTTATATTTTCTCTATTCACTAGGGGAAGATGGATGTATTTTGACTCTAAATAGTACTAGCATCATGAAATCAAATTTAAATCCCATGTTTAAGACAGAAATAATTTCAAAAATAATTTCCAAATCTACAGTAGACGTCTTTGTTAGTCTGCACACAGTTGAGTGCATGAGCACGTGAGTGTGGGATGCTTATATGAAATCTTGGTAGTGTGTTCAGAATGCTTAAGGCTATGTCTGCATACAGGACCTCATCTACACACATAAAGAAATTAAATATTAAAAGATTACTTTGAAGTAACATTATGGATCTGAGACAATGCAATAAAAGCCAGTCATATGACTAATGAAGAAATTCAGCAAATCTCTCCTAATTGAATCACTGCAAATTTAAAATGGGGAATGGCCTACTTTCTGCTACTGGCTCACATTTGCTTTCCTTTGATGCCCATTTATTTTGTTACTTTCTTTATATTATTAAAATAGGTTTTCATATATTTAACTTGCCTTATTCTTTCATTTATAGAACAGAAAAGAAGCTTTAAAAGCATGTAACATGAGTTCATTACTAATGTAATCTCTCTGGAAATAAGACTTATACAGAAGTGTTCATGTCATTTACATATGTGTAGTTTCACTTGAATATTCATAATCTTCCTGGTATGATGAATCACCTCCTAGTAGAAGCTCTGGTCTTTTGATTAAATACACTGAAGTGTATTTCAAAAAGGATATTAATTTCATCATTAGACACTAATAGCATTCTAGGAACTGCTTCAGTTTATCATTCAAACTATCTAGGCATATAATAACCCTTTCTAAAATAAATGTTTCATCTGAAATATTAGAAAACATACATAGAAGCAAACCATTTTTCAAAAGAAATCTTGGCATAAGGTGTTTACAATACATAAGCTTGCCAATGTCATATTCTGAACACACTCGTCTTCATCATAAGTCTATAAAGCAAAAGACAAATGATATGAAAAGCTATATCTTTCTATTGTTTTTCTTTATGGGTTCCTCATTTTGCATTCACCATATTGAGGAATGGTTGAATCCAAAATTTTATAATCAAGGTTAAAAAAATATCTGAAAACCAGGGTTTGGAGTGAGAAACAGACTCTTACCCAAGACAAGGCAGAGCCATTCCTCTGGGACACCAGCACAATAGATTTGTTTTTGTTTTTGAGAACCAGAGAACACGTACAAAATAAAACCAGAGTCGCTTCCCATTACATCAATGGTTTGGGGACCGTCATCATGTCTAGCTCTAAGACCAGATTTCATATTCTAGATTATTGACCAATTACAAAATGTTAACAGCTCGATAAACTGTAAAATATGCATTATCTTCACATGAGAAGGTTTCAGCTTATAAATGCTAAAATACTGTATCTATTGGCATTTAGTAAAATGTTTCCCTGATCCTGATTTCTGCACTAGATGGGGGGGGAAAAAAAAAAGCAAAAGCCTGCTCTCCTGAGCCTTTTATATCTTCCCAAACAAATGATCCAAACGAATCAAACCAAAACTCGCCTTTATTTTCCTAGTGTTAGATACTTATCAATTTGCATACCTAGCAACTGAAGGTAAGGAAGTTTTCTGCCAATCAGTGGTGCCCTCTGCTCGTCAGGTAAATACCTGGCTGTTTCAGCTTTGGAGGTGTTTTCCACACAGTGATATAGCAAAGGGTCTTTTTTTTTTTTCCTGGAAAGGAAAGAGGAAAGAAGGGAAAGAAGGAAACATGTCTTGGAAGAGGAGATCTCCTCTGGTTCTTCAGTGGTTCCTCCAGGCTTCTGGACACTGGCTCATGCCAACATCCAGGCATGACTCTTACTTAGGTTTGGCTAAGTCCTGTTTTCTGCAAAGGCAAGTAAAGGTGACTTCCAAGTGTTCAGTGCATTAAAGAAAAAAGAAGAAAAACCTAAAGGTAAAAAAGAAAAAAGTGCTTGAAAATAATTCTCATGGAGTTATCTTGAGAGGAGAATCCCAAATGTAGCATCCCTCTTTCTGGTGTTATCCGGACCCTGCTCAGGGCACAAAGACCTCCTCGGTCCACGCTCTGGAGCAGGGGGTTTCTAAAAGACTTTCTTTAGGAAAAGCAAAACTTACTTGAGTGGTTTCCAGGGCAAAATTGTATTCCTTGACATGTGGCCCGTCCACCGTGGCCTGGAAGACCTCACAACTTTTTGGCACTGTCGTGGCAGGCCGCTGCCCTGATGGTGGTCCCAGCCAAGCCCCGGTTGCTGACTCTGCGGACCAGCACTTTAGAAACCGGGATTTTTGTTCTGGGCATCTCACTCCTGGAGGGTTGCTGGTGCACCACGGGATGGCTAGATGGAAGGTTGGCCAGGTGCTTGATGCTAATAGGGATCTTAGAGTCCTTTAGCAAGCTGCCTGGTGTTCGCAGTGGACAGGTGATGGTGCCTGGAGACACGGGCTTTAACCGGGACAAGCAGGACGTCTCCTCGCTGTCCTTCCCTCCAGGAAGGGTTGCTGGGCTTCCGTCGGGGTCAGCATAGAGATCGTAGAGCGCGTCCCCGCTGTAGCTATCCCGGGGGATGGCCGCCTTCTTCCCGCTGCTCGAGCTGTCTTCCTCTGGGCCTGGCGTGGTGGAGTCCCAGTAGCCCTCGTCGCTGTTGGGGACGCCCTCCTGCTGTTCCTTCTCCGGGTGCTTGGGCTTCTCCTTCGGATGGGGCTCAATGGGAATACGGTTGAGCCTCCTGCACTTGACCGAGGACGCGTCCTTGGCCGTTTCCACACACCTGGTGTCTTTGGGGGTCTCAGGCACCACCTTGGTTTCCAGTGCAGCTGCCGCGTTGGCCGCGCCCTCCTGGGGCCCGGGTCCCTGCTCCTCGGTCTGTGACAGCATGTCCCAGAACTCCTGCAGATAGGTGTCGTCCACCTCGTCCGGGCTGGCCATCTCCTCCCCGCCTCCTTGGTAGGCCACCACGCCGGGGTTCTTTTTAGAGAGAGCCGGCTTGCCTGGCCCGGGGACATGCTTGTCACAGCTGGGACCTGCCTCTTCCTCTTGGTCTGCAATAATATCTCCACAGCCTGTAAGAGAGTCAAAGCTTTTCAGTGAAGTCACGTCAGAAAACATCAAACAAATACGATCTGCCGACGGGTCTGAGGGTGGATCGACCGAGGCAGGGTCCGGGGCGGCGGACGCCCGGCCGCTGCCGCCTTCGGAGTCGACAAGGGGGACCGTCTTTACGGGAACGGCCCCAGTCCTGGAAGCGTCCTCGGCCGTGCGGACCTCCCCGGGCCCCGGCTCGGGGGGTGCCCGGGGCTTCTCGGCGCGCCGATGCCCCGCGGCGTCCTCTCCCCGGGCGCCGGTGTCGCTGGGGCGCGAGGGGCCCTCGGCCTCTCCGCAGCTCCGCGCTGGGGCGCGGTCGGCGGGGGCGGGCACCTCCTCTCCCCCTGCGGGCTCACCTGCTGGGTCTCGCGGGGTGTCCTGGCTGGGCTCCTCCGGCTCGCGCGCGGCTCTGGGCGTCTCCTCCTTGACGCACTCCAGGCTGGCGGTGAGCGAGCCGGGCAGGATCAGGCCGCCCCCGGGCGCGCGCCCCTCCGCGGCCTCCGCCTTGGCCCTCTTGTCCTTCCTGTGCCAGCGCATGCCGCTGAACAGCCCCCGCAGCCCCCGCTTTTGTTTGCCGCCGGCCTTGCTAGCGTCCGCGGGCTCTCCCTTGCCGTTTTCCGAGCGCCCATTCTTCTTCAGCAGCGAGAAGAAGCTGTGCGACTTGGCCACCGAGCTGCTGGCGAGGGATCCCCCGCCGGGGCCCGCGGCTCTTGGGGGCCCCGGGTTCGGCCGCCCCCCGCCGCCCCCGCCGCTGTCGCCCCCGCCGCGCGGCTCCTCCTTCCTGCCGCTCTCCAGCACCAGCACCTCGGCGAGCCCGTCGTGGGTCCTGCTCCTCACCAGCCCCGTCGGACCCGAGCCTTTCCCGTCCCCTTTGTTTTTGACCCCAAAAATGCTGGGCATGGTGCCACCCGATTTCCTCTTCTTGAATAATTTGAAGGCAGCTTTATTAATCTTCCCCGACGGCGGCTCGGCTGCCGGCGTTTCGGCTGCACAGTCACAATGCAAGTCCATGTCTGCCGCGAGGGTCCCGGCCCCGGCCTCCGCCTTCCTCCTGCAGACCCCCACGGACGCGCCAGCTCCGCCGCGCTCGCTGACAGCCCCGCCGCCGCCGCGGCTCCAGCTCGTCTCCATGGAAACCGCGCGGGATAAGCCGCTTTCGTCAGCAATGGGCTCGCGCCAGGCCACTGTCACCCGTATTCTAAATCAACCTGAGTCGAGCTCGCCGCCGCCGCTGCAAAAGAAACACACATAAAAGACCATCTTCCCTCCCGCAAGGGCTTATATAATACCCTAACCCACTTCCATCCGACTTGGCTTGGCGCTGCATGGCTTTTTTGTGGCAAGGGCAGGCAACACAGCCGCGAGCTGATGGCAGAAATTCGAGTCGTAATTACGGAATTCAAATCCCCTCAACTCTCACCCACCTTCCGATTCCTCCTCTAGACTCGCTCTTCACGGGAGCGCAACCGTGGATCACGAAATGTCTCTTAAAACGACAAAGCAATCCCACCCAAAACAAAATGCTTGCTTTTCTTATTCTCTCTTCTGGACTCCATGCATCTTCATGCCTTTCCCAAGCCCTTCGTGTCTGTCCTTAGCATCCGTGCTCTAAGCCCAGCAAGCAGGAAGCATGTCTGCCTACAACCATGTCTTGTCCAGAGTTGAGCAACACTCTAGGTCCACGCTGTGTGGCTGTCATTGCGGTTATGATTCTTGTGACAAAAGTACACGCCACCAATCAGTCTATCAGCAACCCAGCAATGCAAGCACAACAGCTCCCCGGGGCGGAGTCTGGCTGTACCTTTGGGACAACCGTGACTTTTATCCCAGGCTCCAGCCACCACGGGATGAAGTCACAGATGCCGCCGCCCAGCCCACATTTGATAACAATAGACAACTTGACCGAGAGCACAGCCTGGGAATCTCAGACCCACTCCACAGGTGGGCCTTGGAGTCCCGGGTTCTGCCCTCTCCTTGTCCACTCAGCAGGACACTGGCATTATTCCTATCAATGCTGTGCCAACCCTCATACCACCAGGGCTGACTTGTAGCCCCCTTCCCCAATATACAGAGAAGGAAAAGCTTGGTAGGGGTCCCTGAGTGTCCAGTAGGGATCTCTTCTGTGCTCTGATTTCAAAAGTGATTGCTAATATTTTAACCTTGACCTCTGATTTCATGATTCCAGCTGAGCACTTTTCAGCAAAAAGAAGACATTTGGAGAAGCATATACATATATTAATATAACATGAATATATAGTATATATTATTTAATCATTGATTTATTATTTTTAAATATCATTTAAGAATACATGTAATATTTACATATATACACAAATACCAGTCTTTTCCTCACTCATTTTTTATGTGCTCCCTGCATTATGCCAAGAAATCCCAATCCTCATCCATATAAGCTGGCGTTTTCTTAGTGATGTATGTTGGTCATTGCAGCTTCTTTTGTTATGAGACACAGCTGGTTTAAATTTAGACCTTGGGGTTATTAGTTGTATTATTGCCTTTTTTGTTTATTTTTTATCAAGAGCACTGTTTTGTAAAACGAAGAAATCAGTGAGCTCAGGTTTGGGAGAGGTTGTCCCTTCCGGACTAATCCCATCATCGAGCATCTCTCCTGGAACAGGAAGTAAGGTGAAGCCAGAGAGAGGCCTTCCCGGATTCTAATTGACCACTTGACATGATGAATCAGAGTCCTGGGTGCTTTCTGGGGAGATCGGGTGTAAGGAACTGTAAAGAAAAACCCATTTGTTATGTCTTTACAACCTTTTGAAAAACAATAGAAAGTCTCTCTCAATTTTACACACACACATACACACACACACACGCATGCTTAGATTTGTGGGTTACTATGTAGCTCTGTCAGTATGGAAGAGTTTATGACTGGAATCAAGGAAAAGTGAAGTTGCCTATTAAAAACTCTCCCTTTTTCCATTGGGAAAAAGTGGTCTGCTTTTTGACCCAGCAGGACAGGTCAAATGTGACTAATTTACATGAGAATCTTTGGGCCTCCTGGGAGAAATCTGACAGAGAACTTTGGGATGGATATCATTCCTTTGAGACATCAACACTCAAACGAAGAGAAAGGAACAAAGCTGTCTTCAGCCTGGGGACAGTGCCCTTGCTGAGAGTTACTGGCCCTAAGAGAGAAGAAAGCAAGGACCCCTGGACCATCTGAAGGCACTGGGCATGGGGGCTGTAGAGGCTGAGGTGCGAGTGAGGGCCCTCCAGCATCCTCCTATCCAACGTCCTTGTTACAGGGACTATGGGGAAAAGGAGGGCGAGGCCAGCTTAAAGGAACTTACTGGAAGAGCCAGACGGGTGAGGAGAGAGCCTGCAGGGGAGAGAGATGAGGGCAGGATGGTCTGATGGTCTGATGGTTACAGCCAGGTTATGAACCATCACGAAGACTCAGCCAAACCTTACATTAAACTTCACAGTCAAGGGTGGAGAAAACAAGACGGTGATTTTTTTTTTTCCCTGAAAGACCATGAAAGTGAAGATAATTTTACCACAAGCACTCCTGTTTTTGTTTACAGTTTCTTCTTTTATTCTTTCCTTCCATCCTGCCCCAGTTTGAGAGTGAACAGAATATTAGAGTAGAAAGAAATAGAGAACAGGACTGAGGGGAAACATTTCAGGGAAAAGCCATTCCAAAAAATAGGGTGAGTCGCAAATGCAAACAGCAAGTGGATTTTGCTGGAAGACATGTGTGGGCTTGTTTAGAAATCATACCTGAATTGTGGGATATTAAGGGATAATCATGAAGCAGTATCCCTTTAAAGACCCATGGCAGGCCTGGTGCAGTGGCTCATGCCTGTAATCCCAACACTTTGGGAGGCCGAGGCTGATGGATCACAAGGTCAGGAGTTCAAGACCAGCTGACCAACATGGTGAAACCCGGTCTCTACTAAAAATACAAAAATTACCTGGGCATGGTGGCTTGCGCCTGTAATCCCAGCTACTCAGGAGGCTGAGGCAGAAGAATCATTTGAACCTGGGAGGCAAAGGTTGCAGTGAGCCGAGACGGCACCATTGCACTCCAGCCTGGGCGACATGAGCCAGACTCCGTCTCAAAAAAAATCAAAAACCCTCAAAAACAAAGCAAGACAAAAAAAAAAAAAAAAAAAAAAACCCATGGCAAGTTTAAGGTAAAGCTAGCGGCCTCCTTAAGCAGAAATGCTGTGATACCTGAGAAGTCCCTCAGCAACGGCCACACATGGCCTCAAAGGGAAGCTTCTTGGTGGTTCACCTAAGATAGAAAATTCCAACCAGGGCCAGGCACAGTGGCTTATGCTTGTAATCCCAGCAATTTGGGAGGCCGAGGCGGGCGGATCACTTGAGGTCAGGAATTTGAGACCAGCCTGGCTCATATGGTGAAACTCTGTCTCTATTAAAAAAAAAAAAAAAATTAGCCAGGTATGTTGGTGCACACCTGTGATCCCAGCCACAGGGGAGGCTGAAGCAGGAGAATCGCTTGATCACTTGAGACCGAGAGGCGGAGGCTGCAGTGAACCCTGAGATCACGCCACTGCACTCCAGTCTGGGTGACACAGCAAGGCTCTGTCTCAAAAAAAAAAAGAAAAGGAAGAAAAAAAGAAAATTTTACCCAGTAAGCTTTGGGCAAAGTTACCCTAAAAAAGGAAATGGTGTGTTGAGAATGATGACGACGAAGTTAAATTCTTAAATGGTTCTTCCTGTGTTTCTCTTCTGTATTTTTCTTTGTTTTGAGTACCGCCCTCCAGGGAAGCTCACTACCTAGAGAAAAAAGCCCCAGCAAAACGACAAATACTCCTTGGTGCTAACACAGAAAAGCCCACACATGTCTTCCAGCAAAATCCACTTGCTGTTTGCATTTGCGACTCACCCTATTTTTTGGAATGGCTTTTCGCTGAAACGTTTCCCCTCAGCCCTGTTCTCTATTTCTTTCTACTCTAATATTCTGTTCACTCTCAAACTGGGGCAGGATGGAAGGAAAGAATAAAAGAAGAAACTGTAAACAAAAATGGGAGTGCTTGTGGTAAAATTATCTTCACTTTCATGGTCTTTCAGGGAAAAAAAAAAAAAATCACCATCTTGTTTTCTCCACCCTTGACTGTGAAGTTTAATGTAAGGTTTGGCTGAGTCTTCGTGATGGTTCATAACCTGGCTGTAACCATCAGACCATCCTGCCCTCATCTCTCTCCCCTGCAGGCTCTCTCCTCACCCGTCTGGCTCTTCCAGTAAGTTCCTTTAAGCTGGCCTCACCCTCCTTTTCCCCATAGTCCCTGTAACAAGGACGTCGGATAGGAGGATGCTGGAGGGCCCTCACTCGCACCTCAGCCTCTACAGCCCCCGTGCCCAGTGCCTTCAGATGGTCCAGGGGTCCTTGCTTTCTTCTCTCTTAGGGCCAGTAACTCTCAGCGAGGGCACCGTCCCCAGGTATTATTTGTAAATAATACCTCAATTGAGACTGCCATCTCCCATCTACAGACCACTTGGCCAGCGTCTGACCTCAGCCCAGGTTGAAATGTCTACCTCCCTGCTCACGTCCACTCCTACCCAGGATTATCCTCCAAGGTGGACTTGAGAAGCTGTGTTGCCAGTGAGAACCCCCAATGTCCAACCCAAGTTCCTCTTTATGAGATGAACAGGGAAAAGCTCAGAGCTACTGGTCTTAAAGTCCCCTGCTGTCCACACTGTTCCTGTGTCTATGGAAGCTGAGGCCACAATGTGAAGTGCACAGGGCCTGGCATGCAATGCTGCTGGCATGTTCCCCTACCCACCTTGCCTGGGAAGATGAGGCTCGAAGCTGGGACACGCAGCGTGAGGGCGACAGGTCTGAGAACACTAGGCCCAGGGGTAAACTGAAGTTCTTGTGGTTTCTTCAGCATATTTTGATTCCTGATTTCTCCCAAACATCAGCTTTCACTGGGAGTTGACAGCTGTTCTGGGTATCTGCTTATTCAGAGGACACATTTATATCTTTTTTTTTTTTTTTTTTTTTGAGACGGAGTTTCACTCTTGTTACCCAGGCTGGAGTGCAATGGCGCGATCTCGGCTCACCGCAGCCTCCGCCTCCTGGGTTCAGGCAATTCTCCTGCCTCAGCCTCCTGAGTAGCTGGGATTACAGGCACGCACCACCATGCCCAGCTAATGTTTTGTATTTTTAGTAGAGACGGGGTTTCACCATGTTGACCAGGATGGTCTCGATCTCTTGACCTCGTGATCCACCTGCCTCGGCCTCCCAAAGTGCTGGGATTACAGGTGTGAGCCACCGCGCCCGGCGATACATTTATTTCTAATTAGTAACATGCAAGTGAAAAGCCCAGTGCAACTCGAGATTTTCCACATTAGCCCTGGCGCACACTCGAGGCTGCCAGGGGAAGGAGTCCATCCCAGGAGGAGCTTCAGCGCCACCCAGCAGCCCCCAGAGTAAAGGAGCAGCTCAGAGGGGAAGTGTTCTGGGCTCATAGGATGTCACCTCAGCCCACCTCCCATGGGTTTGTACCTGGATTCCAGGCCAGAAGAATGCCACAGAAGACCAAATAAAAGCAAAATGAGCTTTTTTACCCTGTAATGCTGGTAGGACCAAGGGGGCACAGGGCATGTGCCAGTTGACAGCACTGGTATTGGGGCAGTTTCCACGTCTCTCCCTAGACTTCCAGATGCTTGATCTTTGGAGTCCATTAGCTTCAAGACACAGCTTTCCAAACTCTGGCTCGGTGTGAGGCAGAGATGTTATGTTCACCCCTGCGCACCTGTCTGTGTCTCTTCTCCTCTTCTTAGAAGGACACTGGTCACATTGAATTAAAGACCCACCCTACTCCAGTATGACCGCATCTTAACTTACATCGTCGTTACATTTGCAAAGACCCCATTCCCAAATAAGGTCACATTCACAGAGACCCGGGCTTAGGACTCCAGCAGATCTTTTGGAAGACAAAATTCATCTCACAACAAACATCACCGCCAGCAATGGTGACAGCATCTGCCTCACCTTCAGTGCTTCAGTGCCATCCCCAGGGCCCTTGACATAGACACGACTGTCCTTGGGCTCAATCATGAGTGGGTTCAGGCTGAGTATGAGCTTCTTCAGCAGGTGTAGGCCTTCAGCAGAGTTCAGGGTCACTGATGGCATTTCTGGGGTTGCCGGCAGTGTGGGACAGTACCACTGCCAGCCAGAGGAAGCAAGAAGGAAAACAGTGTTGACCAAGAAGGGTAGATCTTGGTGTACACATGTGAGACCCTGGGGTCTCTCAGGATTTTCTAGGAGGAATCTAAGATGGGTCTCAGAGTTCCCATGTAGTGGATAGGGTAGAACAAGGGACCACTGTGTCTCTCCCCGTTCTCCTCTTCCCTGCCTAGAAGCCAGAATGGCCTGAGAAACATGTCACACCATAACTGCTCCTCCCAATAATTCCCTTGTCTCCGGCTCTGCCATTTAGCTAGAGCCACTCTTAGAAAACATTGTATCTCAGATTGCACAGAGGGTGGGATTTCTTCAGCTGTTGGCACCAAGGTGGGTGCAGTGCAGCCAAAAACAGGGCAGAATGAGGTCAGATAGCAGAGGGTGCGTGGACAGGATGCCAGGGCTTTGGGCATGGATAGATGCCCTGTTAGAGAGCAGCCAAATGAACAGTGGGAATCATCTAACCCCAGCAGGGATGCAAACCAGAACCAGAGCCCAAGATGAGGGCCCTCAGTTGTTAATGTGGAGGCCAGGCTCGGAGATTCAAGATGGGAGGCTGCAGGGGGGCTGCAGAAATGATCTGCCCCACAGTGGGACACCGAGAGGAAGCCCAAGCCCCTGGCCCTTGGGTGTACTTTTGCTCAGCTTAAAGAAGCTCTACTCTGCATCTGCTTCTTGACACAAAGCTGGCTCACACGCAGGCCTTGGTCCAGCCCACCCAGCACATACACACAGCATGAACCACCGTGTGTAGCTAAGGTAGGCCTTCTGCCCAGTTCCTCATTGCCCCCAGTCTCCAGCCATATGAGCAAGCTGCTTTCTGCCGGGGCATCCCCACATCACAGCCCTGGACCTTTCTGAATCATGGCTCCTTTTCCCAGCTCCTTCCACTTCCAGCAAAAAGACGTGGGGAAGTTCTCCTGCTTTCTCATGCCACTCTAGGTCTGCCCCTGCCCCTTGTCGTAAAATCCCCTCCACTGGCCCTGCCCTGACAGCACTGAGGACATACACAGGGTTTCAGACACTGGCAGGGTCCTCCCTACTCTCAGGTCCCTAAGCTCATGAAGGGAGAGGTGTATTATCCGCACTCCTTAGCAGCTAACCTGGGTGGAGGGTGCAGGGAGCAGAGCCTCTTCCTAAGGACCCTCAGCAGCTCTCAAATTCTTTCTGTGGAGCAGTTTCACTGTGCACAGGTACCAATCCCAGGGGAGGACTCTACACACTTCACCAATAACCATACACCAGTAGCAATCCACCTGCACAAGTGCAGCGAGACGGAGCACTCACACAACCAGTTAGGTGACACGATCCTCCAAGGCTCAAGAGTTCTGCCCGGGCCAGATGGAGTCCCACTTGCATGGGCCTTATGTTGCACCACAGCTAAGGGACCTTGGAAACACACTCTGCCTTAGGTTTTATGGCCTGGGGACCCATGGATCGCTGGGCTAAAGTGTTGCAGGACATGCTGTTGTGGGGGTGATGGGACAGAGCCCGGGCTATCCCAGCCAGCTCCTCCTTCTCTCAGGATGCTGCATTGCCAGCACATCCGACAGCTATTCTGAGAATTTCCTATTTCAAGGAAGAGCTGGTTATCCAAGGCCATCTGGGGACTTGTCCTGCACTTTCCGCCTCTGCAACTTCTATTCTTCCATTTCCCGAAGTCTTGGGATCTTAACTCATCTCGACAGCAGACACAGCAATTATATATTTGTTTAAACTTACTGCTTAGGTCAAGATCTCGGCTCCTGAAGTTCAAATGACCCTAGCTTTTGCAAACAAAGAAAGCTTTTTTTCCCCAAAGATGTCATGGACTTCAAAAGTATATTTTGAATTCTGAAAGCTGAGTCTTGTCATCTTTTTTCTGTATCTTTGCTTACCTATTTCAGTTTAATTGCTCCTACCCCATCCCTAACCTCCGCACACAATACACAAACATATTTGTTCTCACAGTCTATGCTCCGACAATTTTGAGCATATTTCCAGAATATGTCATTGTCCTCTTGCTCTTGTAAACACTGCAGCTATCTTCTGAGATGCTATTTCCCCCGTGTGCAGCTAATAAGTTCCTATGCATTCCCCATGCAATGGCTGGGGCCCCAGATCCTCTGTTCCTGTCAGAGGCCCAGCATATTCCCACGATACATCACAAAAATGCTCAGGCCAGTTTCTACACTGTGTCAATCATCATGGTGCCCCAGGGCTAACTTCCCATTAGTTGGCTCTGACTTTCATGGAAAGAGGGATGTGATGGGGGTGGGAGGTATAGCTCTTCCCTTCTGTGACAGGCACATCAGCCGACCAGCAGAGCTGCACTTGAGTGGCTCAGTCATCTCAATCACAGGTGGATGACTCGTTTTTTTGGGCCATGACCTCCTTTCCCCCTTTGAGTCACATGGCAGGGTGGGTTACTTCCCTGGGTGGTCAAATATGTTACTTAGGATTGTGCTACTTTGTGCAGCAAATAAATCCCAAAATAAAACAAGTCAACTCGATAGAGGTCTATTCTTACTCACTGTTTTAGCCCATTTAGGCTTCTATAGCAAAACACCATAGACTGAGTGGCTTATAAAGAACATAAATTTATTTCTCACGGTTCTGGAGGCTGGAAAGTCCAAGGTCAAGGGCACCAGCAGATTAGGTATCTGGCGAGGGCTTGCTTTATGGTTCACAGACGATGCCTTCTACCTGTGTCTTCACATAGTCGAAGAGGGAATGAGCTCTTGGCCCTATTTTATAAAAACACCAGTCCCATTCCTGAGGGCGCCACCCTCGTGACTTAATCCTGTCCCCAAAACTTCACCTCCTGATACCATCACCTGGGAGGTTAGGATTTCAACATATGAATTTGAGAAGGGCACAAACATTCCAATCATAGCACTCACCTATAAGTCAAGTATTGAAACCAGAAGGGTGAGTCTCTTCCATGGGATCATTCAGGGTCCCCGGCTTCTCTTCTTTGGGTCCCCCCTTTGGGGTTGTTGCCATCTGCATTTAGCTGGTGGAAAGAGAAAGAGATCCTGGAAGAAGCACATCCATTTCTAAGAAGCTTGACTCAGACATGGTCCAAATCACTTGCTCTCACTTCTGTTGGTGGCATCTAGTCACATGGCCACATCTGGCTTCTAGAGAGTGGGAAATACGGTCTAACCACGTGCCTGGCCACATTCCTGTTACTACAGAAGGAGAGAACAGATTAGAGCAGGCAGCTGGCAGAATGTGCTACAAATCAACCTACTCGGCAGCTGTGCTGGGGAAAGGAAGCATTCAGTCTGCCCATTGGTTCACTTTCCTCCACATTTCCCCCTCCCACAAAACAGTGCATTCCCTCTCAAGACCTCCCCGTACCAATCTCTGTCGCCGCTCCCAGCTCTGTTCATACCCTTCAGCCTTCCCTTAGGGGAATGGATTGTTGTTTAAAGCAAACACATCTAGTAGATGTTTGAAACAGACTGGATTAAAAACCTGATTGCGGTTATTCCCACCACCAGAGTAGCCTAGAAAGGACCTCCATGCTGTCCATTCCATTCCATGAGCATTTATAGTGCCTCTCCAGTGTGCTGGGTGCTACCATCAATAAACCATCATGCCGCCCTGCACGGTGACCAGGAGGCTCATCAATGTGAGACTTGGTTCAGTGTGAACTCTTCAGCTCAAGAAACTGACAGTACCTTTGGGTTGTAGGCCCGTGTGATCAGGCCTCAGCAGCTTGGGTGTTAGTTTTTTCTTCTTTGAAAAAAAAAATCTACGTTTTCCTCCATGATGGTTAATCCCCAAATAGTCAGGCTTACTTCTGTCCCAGATCCTAACCACCTACCAGGTTTTCTTCGTGGGCTTAAGGTTAAGTCCCTGATCCGGTTTCATGCAGCTTTCATTGATGTTTCATTTGCTATCCACCACAGCAAGATTACTTTTTTCAAAAGACAGAAATCTCAGCAGATGTATTCATTCTGGGATGTTTCCTGGACTCACACCAGTGAGCTCATTAGCCCAGGCTAACTATGGGCCTTTGGGGGCTTTTTCTTTCCTTCTTTTTAAAGTTTGTAGCAAAAAGTGGGATCATGTGATCTGTGCATAGCAGCTCTCCTTCCTGTATGTTCAGTGAGCAGTGACTGAAACTGCCCCCAAGAAGGAAGGCTGTGCTTTCTAAACATGCATTTGTCTTAGCAGTGTCTGCTTTTGTTTAGTGGAGACTGAAGCTGAAACCGGAAATTTCTAGGTCAGCTATACTTCACTCTAATAAAAGAAAAGTCTAGCCAAAAAGAACAGCAAAACTATGGCCTGGGCTTTTTGGAGTGTCTTGTCTGATTACCCAATTATTGTAGCTCAGATTAGGAAGGGATTAACCCCTGAGGTTGGACAGATGGAGAACACTATTAAAATACCCCATGTGGGGTTTCAGAGTGAGCAGCAAAGTGACCACCTGTCCCTGTTTCTTGGGTCAGTCTGCCCTCATTTAGAGTCTGAAGATCACTGTCTTTGATGTCCCTGTGTGAAGAAACTGAATAGCACAGGAAGCAAGCAGGGGCCCCACCCCTGTCTGGCCCAGAAGCACTGCTTTCCTGAGTCTCTGTCCCTACCTGGAGCCCTGCCCTAGACTGACCTGGTAAGGAATATTCATCTGAATTACAAGTGATTTTAGGGTTGTTATCTCCCAGGGCCCTTGGGAACAGTCTGGGGATACTTTATGAGACTGTCACAGACAGAAAGGTTTCCATTTCAGACCTCCCTTTTCCTTTGATAACTATTGAAGAAGTCGGTACCTCCTCCTTTCTTGAACCTCTGCATTTCAGGGGCTCCATTGGGACTGTTTCCTTTTAAGCGTTCTCAGAAGCTGTGGAAGAGTGAAGTGAGATCTGTGTCTTCGGGCCTTTTTGCCCCTGCACTGGGGAGGTTGGGACAGTCCCTCTCTAGGCAGGGAGGCTGAGTGAGCTTGCCTCATGTTCCAGCCGTGAATTCACAGGCAGGAAGATGCTATAAGCAGTCCATTCAATAATTAATAAGCCACTTAGTTCTGCTTCAAGCCCTTTATCTTACGGATAACGGATGTGTTCAGGAACATTAATGGTTGATGAGAAAACATTATGCCAAATAAAATATGTTGGGCAATCTTGAAATCGTCATGATTTAGCTGGGTGAGTATTTCTTCCTTATGTATCTAACTTGTGTCAATTCGAGAAAAGCGTATTGAGCACACTGAATGCCTATTTCATCCCCAGCACTGCGGAAACGTAGAATCTCAAGGTTGGCAGGGTCTCAGTCCCAAAATTGTGTAAGCAGCCAGCCATTCATGATTGGAATGCTTCCGGGGAAAGCACCTCACTCACCCAGAGGCAGCTTACTCCACGTCCCAACAATCCCACTAGAGATTTTTTTTTAGAGCTGTTTTTTTTAAATCTTCACAGCTTCTGTCCCTTAGTTCTAGTTATACTCCTGTATTGAGCAACTTTTGTGGGCTCCGTACAGTTCCAGGTGGTTTTCACGCATTCAGTTGTTTAATCTCCAGAGTCATCATATGAAGTGGGGTCTCCCCATTTTACAGATCAGGAAACTGGCACAAAGAAATTAAATGATATGCTCAAGATCAGTAACTAGTGAATGGCAAAGCATTCTGGCTCCATTAGTATATCTTCTTCTTCTTCCTCTTCCTCCTCCTCCTCCTCTTCTTCTTCTTTTTCTTCTTCCTTCTTCCTTCTTTCCCCCACTTCTTCCTCCTCTTCTTCTTCTTCTTTTTCTTCCTCTTCTTATTCCTCTTCTTCTTCTTTTAGAGATGATGTATCATTCTGTTGCCCAGGCTGGAGTACAGTGGTGTGATCTCGGCTCACTGCAACCTCCACCTCCCAGGTTCAACCAATTCTCCTGCCTCAGCCTCCTGAGGAGCTAGAATTACAGGTGCATGCCACCACACCTGGCTAATTTTTATATTTTTAGTAGAGATGGGTATATTTTACCATATTGGTCAGGCTGGTCTTGAACTCCTAGCCTCAAGTGATCCCCCTGCCTTGGTCTCCCAAAGTGCTGGGATTACAGGTGTGAGCTGCTGCACCCTGCCTCATAATATATTTTCTTAATCACTGTTTTGATTATCTATTACTGAGTAACATACTGCTCCAAAACTTAATGGCTTAAAATGGTGATTATTTTATTTTCTCACAATTCTGTGGGTCAGATATTTTGGCAGGGCTAAGCTGTATAAATCTTCTGCTTCACACGGCATCAATTGAGGTCTTTCATGGATTGCAGTGTGATGGCCACTAGGACTGGGATGTCCAGCATGGTGTCACTCACACAAGGACAGCTGAGAGGTTCCATGTGGCTCACACCAAAGAACTAGCTTGAGCTTCTTTTCATGACAGCTGGACCCCAAAAGCAAGCATTTTAATCAGCAAAGGTGAGTGCTGCATATCAGTTCAGACTCATCCTCAGAAGTTATACACATTACATTCACATATTCTATCAGTCAAAAGAAGTCACAGAACCAGTGCAGATTCGAGCAGAGGGCAATTAAGTTCTGCCTCTATACTGGAGAACAAAAAGGAGCATGTAAAAGGGCATGTATTGTTGCATTCATGTGTAGAAACTCCAGCAACCAAGAGCCACAACGCTGTTCTGCCCCTCTGGAAAACAAATTGATGCACACTCTACATGACATCTCTCCAGGTATTTAAAACTAGCTCTCAGGCATCTTTGAGTCTCCTGCTCTTCAAGCTTCTTCTTTCTTTAAGTGTTTCTTATAAAGTGTGGAATGGTACTGTCCCTCTCTTCTGATGTGTCCCGGAACTAAATGTCATACTCCAAGGTATGCCTGGCCTGGTGAGAACAGAAGGCCCATCATCTCCTGTCTTTAAATATGGAGAAAGAATCAACAGGAATTCTTGACCAGCACATAGAAATTCTGTTACAGTACTTGAAACTCTGATGCCCCCACACCCTGTAATTGTGCAGTTGTTTCGAAAGACCAAAGTTCAATTATATTTTATAAAATGTGACCCAGCACTCTCATTCATTGATTTCATCTTCCACTGCATCCACAGTCCACTCAGCTTTCAGTCAAACCTACACTTGACTCATGACTTACCTCCTCCTTCCACAGTTTCTTCCAAGTCATCGATAAAACTGCTGGCCTGTTCATCTACAAGAAGATAGCTCTGAGAAACACCATGGAAAACCTCTCTCCGTTTTAAAATCCACTGATCTGAAACCTACATAAACTGATAAGGCAGAATTGTTCAGACAATTCTGGATCCACCAACTTGTCTATGCATCCAGCCCACATTTTTATAGCTTGACTCAGGAGCATCAAAAGAACCATCACCAGCACTGTGCTCACCCATGATCTTGGCAGCAAAAGAAATTAGGTCCGTCTGAATTTGCCTTGTTTTGTTTTAGAGACAAGGTCTCACTTTGTCACCCAGGCCAGAGTGCAGTGGCAAGATCATAATTCACTGCAGCCTCCAACTCTTGAGCTCAAGTGATCCTCCTGCCTCAGCCTCCTGAGTATCAGGGACTATAGGCATGCAATACCATGCCCAGCTAATTTTTTTAATTTGTGTTTTTGTACATACAGGGTCTTGCTATGTTGCCCAGGCTGGCCTCAAATTCCTGGGCTCAAGTCATCCTCCTGCCTCAGCCTCCCAAAGTGTTGGGATTACAGGTGTGAGCCACTGCATCCGGTCAGGATGCTCTTACTGAGGCCCTGATGACTCCTGGCAATCACAACTTCCCTTCTCAAATAATTTCTTTAACAATCCATGCTGGAATCTCGCCCCACCTCATACCTGTTCTGCCTCAACACTGTTCACCCATTTGCAGCTTTCTGTTCTCCAGAGATAACCTCAGTGATGCAGGCACCGAATCAGTTATAACAGCAGGATCTTAGAACCTGATCCTTTTTGAATCTGGCTCAGGAGACATGAAATCAGAGCAGCAGGGGCTGCCCACTCTTTTCAAGAAACATGGGCTTCTGCCCCCCTTCACTATTTATTTTATAGCAAGCAAAAGAAAGCCAGAAGAGTCTACCTTCAAGCTACTTACAGCATAGCTCTCGGAGAAGGTATACAGGCTAATAGTCATAATATGAAACAAAATAGAATCACTGCCTGGGTGCAGG